TCACCAGCATAAAACCCAAAATAAGGTGGTTTTCATTTGAAAGTACAATACGCGGTCTCTTCTAAGACAATCAGAAACAAAAGGCACAAACTCCAACGGGCAAATTGTAGAAGAGCCCTGAGTGAATCAAAATTAAAATTATTTGCTCTAAATACTTCAACAGGTATTATACCACAGTCAGTGATATGAATGCAGGAAAAGCATATGAGTAAAGTGGACAACACATATATGTGTTGACACATATGTGTTGACGCGGTTGCTGACATCAGTACTGTATATATGGACCCACCGCCGTTATCGTTATTACACACGAAACAAGCCAAAGCATTAAAAGATATCCATATCATTAAAGTGAGTGGGAAGACGACGAGTGAAATGTAAAGCAGGAGAAATGAAAGTAACATAAGCCCAATCAAAACTAAATAAGTACGTGATTGGCGGTGGGTTATCAAATTGTATGCTTATGCAGCTGGCATGGTCTGGTTTTTGTGCCAGGTATATGATGCCCCTGCCATTAGCATATGAGTTATCTTACTCATCTCCAAAAATGACGGCATCGACTTATTCCTCCTGTATGCGTATACCTGATCTATTAGTTTGTACCTTTATTCAAAAACCAACCTTCCATGTTATTCACATAAGCACTTAATCATAAGGCGCCTATAGTAATGTAGTTTAAAATGCCATTCTTTGTTTAACTTCCGTTCATACAGCAAAAAATTGAATGTATATATGTGGCATTTTCAATTCGATGATCTGAATCAAAAAATTTTGTTCCAAACTATGCAAATTCATGCCCTGTAAATCACAAAGAAAAAAGTCACTCAGTTCACCTTCAGATCCAAATAAGTGTTAGCAGCAAGTTTCGAATAAGTGAATGTAGAAATCACGATAATTTTTTGTTTCTAACATAGCTGTTGTATATAGAAGCTCAAGAATCCTGAAAAAATTAATAATGCTTTGAAGAAAAGGTAAAAATAGTGCCCGTCAGAGCAACAATTATTCAGAAATTATCATAATCAACAAAACGACTGCACGAAAACAACCTACATACAGAATATTGATTAATCCAACTGTCATGAAGTGGCATAAATTACAATATTTTTCTTACTACAAAAAGCCATTATACTGCCATCAGTTTGAGCAGCATTTGCATGCCTGCCATGCTGGTCATAAATACGACAATTATCAACAGAAGAAAATTGTCATTCAATTATACTTTCTCGTGATCTCTGCATTGAAATTCCGGGAGTTTTTTCCTCTCAGAAATTCCAGTCATGTTTCAAGACAGCCTTTGATTTTAGACAGTGATGAGTGAACGAGTGATCCATTTTAAAAACGGATTTTACTAAAAATACTGTACTGTACAAAGGAAGGGCTGAATGCGGGGGACATCAGCATAATTCCGGATTATTTCTCAAATCTGTTGAAATAGGTGGTGGGTAGGGGACAGTCAGTTTAATCACCAGGTAAAGAAAAAAGTCAGAAAGAATAATATACCGGTTCCCTACATATATATACAGTACAGTCTAACACAAGAATTCCACAAAAAGAAATTCCGAGGGACAAGAAACAAATATTATGTAACTGTAGAAAGAACTTCGTCGCACAGAACCCCTTTAACATTCGGAGAAATCCACATGAGAAAAAAATCAGTATGCAGTACTGAGCTCTTTAAAAAATCCTTATTGAGAGTCCACCCGTATACAACATGATTGCATTATTATGCTTAAGGCAGCCATATTAATACAGTCGAATACGTACCATATAAGTGTTTGTACGAGAAATTTTCATTTCAATCTATTAATGCATACACGTCAATGAATTCAGTTTGATGTACAGTATATAAATTGTAAACGGTCACGCAAGATGTTCACTAAATCATCTTCAACCCGCAAAAACTGCCGTGGTTGCAGCTTCAATTGCCCCGCAGATGATGAGTTGCAAAATGCTCATGACAACATCCACAATTGTCTTGGCGAAGTTTGACAGGACCGAGTCAGCCAAATCCAAATGCAAATTGTCTCGGATCCATTGGAGTCCTCTTCCCAATGCATTCGTGAACACTACGTCAACTTTCACGTTTTCCGCTCGGGCAACTGTGTCTGGAAATTTTGAATTTAATTTGAGCCATACACTGTATTTGCATTGGCTTCAAGTCCTTCAGACAATCCTGTGCAATAATATATAGTGTACCACGGGTTTCTCAAAAGACTTGTGCAAAGTTATTGTACCGGAATCTTCACCAGCGGGACACAAAAAAAAGAGCATACAGTAGTTTCGGTTAAAATACTCCACATCTACACTTCATATACAGTAACCCTCAATTCGACAGAAAATAAAAATTAAGATACCGTAGTATTAGTTTGGGTACTTCTTGGGCTAAATTTGGCGGGTAATTTAAAAAATAGATTAAAGAATGATATGCCAGAAACCCCCTAGGGGAAATTGCATAAGGCGAATTTATCCCCGCACTCTTCTCAACCTTCAATATTTTGGCCTTTAATCCTTTGCTTCTCAGGAACATGTGAAAATAACTTCCAAATAATTTTTGAATACAATTTCATCTAAAAGAATTTTCAAAAAAGAAGAAACCCATATCGAGCCTCTAATGATGGCTGCCTCATTTCCATCCCACAGCTAAGTCAGGATTTTTTTTTTTGCACACATCAGGTGCATTTCAATCTGATCAAAGGTCATCACCAAATGTGCTGAGAAGGCCAAAGTTGTGTGACAAGCAAATCCTTTTGTTTAAAAAATCTTCAATGCTTATCATGGAATGCAGGAAAATAAGTCACCCATCAAGGAATTTTTTCCAGCAAAAATTGCACTCCTTCCTGACTTTGGGCTTATTGGTTCTCAGTTCACGTTTTTTTTTCTTAATTTCAGTACTCTTGGGGACACAATTTTGCAAAAATCCTGTATCCCAACTTTGCTGCAGAAGGGTTAATCTAACCTTGCCTAACCTAAAAATAAAATAACATAACCTCACCTGACCAAAAATAAAATAACATAACCTCACTTGACCAAAAATAAAATAACCTAACGTAATTACGTTACCAAAAGTAAAATAGCGTGACCAAAAATAAGATAACCTAATCAAAAATAAAATAACTTGACCAAAAATAAAATAACCTATTCAAAAGTAAAATTACTTAACCAAAACTCACCTTGCCTAATGAGCAGCTACCAACTTTGAACAATGTCATCCTTACACCAAGCTTTAAACTTATCAATTCCCTTCATTTTAAAATGATCGAACCAGAAGATAATAATCCCCATAATACCCATAAAGCAAAATGAAGGGTCACCGGGGTTGAACAGCTTTTTGCTGGAAACTCTCGGATATTCTCACCAAATATAAAATCGTGTAGCAATTCATTTGGTAAAAGTTTATTTTTATAAATCCTACTGAAGCTTGATTCTGTATATTATTACAATTTGAAAACATTCCGATTATTTTTTTCCATTAACGCTGGCATATTATTATCATCAATATTAATAGTTTCTAACCGATCGCAGAGACGCATCCCGTGGTCGAGGCCTGTGCATTGGGTGAGGTTTTAGTTTCCATGGGCAGGTAAGCTGTCAGATTGGCAACCCCAGTGCCTCGAACAGGGAACAATTTAAAAACGTCGATCGGGAAGTACTGAAAAAATAATATGAAATATAAATACAAATACAGTATACGTCAAAACAAGTCAGGATCACGCTCCTTTTTTTTCCAAAATCACATTTCCCTACATTACCTTGACCAGCTTGAAGTTGAACATCAATTCAGGGATTTCCATTTCGGCTTTGACGTTGTAGGCGGTGAGTCCATTTGATCTGTTTGCTAAAGCTTCGAAGTCTTTGGATAACCTGATGTTTTGCAAACCCGTAATGTCGCCATTGAGTTCGATTCCGTTGCTGGCAGAGAATCCTCGAACCGGGTATTTGCCATCAGGAAGCTTTTTCCTGCAAGTTCAAGAAGATTATATATATTTTGCTGATATACATGGAACTCACTATAAGAAGAAAGTTCACAGAAATGTGAACAAGTGCTCAGCGCATTTATCTTTGAAACACCAAAATTTACCGCCGATCTTGCGAGAAATATTATCTCACGAAGTCAAAAAGCATGTGATTTTGACTCCGCGGCTTCGCTCTTATACGAGGGTTGTCCCAGTTTGACGCGGCATCTAATATTTCTAGAGCACTGTAATTTCTAGCTCTTTTTATTTGCAAAAAGAAGTTGGCACATAAAAATTTTTTACAAGTAAAAAAAAATGCGGCATCGCCCATGATGTTCCAAAGTTCTGGATTTTTCGGATTCACATTTTTTTGTATTTTCTGCATGATGATAAGTGAACACAACTTTTTAGTTACTATACAGCCAGAGTTCTTCACAGGATGCTAAAAAAATTGCGGCAAGTTAAAAAATTCTTAGTTTTTGTTTCAATCATTTTCTATAATGAATAACATAAAATTGTTAAAACGCAATACAATTTTTTTCTTTTAGCTGTCCCGACAAACTTAAGCACTCTTTAACATGGGTAGCACTCTTTAAAGAAACATGGCTGTAACCGGAAAGTGTTCAATTATCACGCAGTAAATCGAAAAACTTGCTTATAAATCCGAAAAAAAAATTCCAGAACCTTAGAACATTTTGGGTTATGTCAAATTTTTTTTTTTAAAATCACATCTACATTTTGAATATCAGAGGTCGCGCCCAACTGGGACAACCCTCGTATGATTCTTATACACCTTGAATAAAAATTGAATTTCCAAGAAATGATGCAGAAAAGAAAGATAAAATTTACTGGTAGCGTATTAGACGAAAAACAGTATTGTGATGATTATAAAATTCAAATTAAAATTTTCGGAAATCCGTGACTGAAAATGCAGTAATTCTGCTAGTCTTTCCATGATGTTGGTGGACCAATAAGAGCGAAAACAAGAAAAATAACTTACGTCAATAACTCCTGATATTTAGCGCTGAAATTAGCTTTCAGCTCTTCGACGATGGCATTCAGAATTTTCTTTTCCAGATCGGGATCAGTGTTGGTCGAAATAATTTCAACCTCGTTCGTGCTCGGCGAAGGAAGTTCCAGTTTGCCGTTGGGGATCTGGAAATGTTCTTCAACAACTCCAGGCGCTTGTTCGGCTATAAATTATAAATAAAATAAAAATTAGCATAATTCTAAATTTATTCCTTCTATGCTACGTTGTACACTTCATCACTTCCTTGATGCTTGGAAACGTACCATCAGGGTTCGGTTGCTGCGGAAGTCCTTGGACTGCGGCAGCAATAATTGCTACCAGGAAAAGCACCGCGGATTGCATCTTTTAAAACTTATTGCCACTCTTTGGTCAGCACAAATACCACAGGTTCGCGGTTACAAAAGATATTCTTAAGAAAAATCCAGAAACATGAATAATATTCCACCATTATTTTCGAAGAATCTGCGAGGTTTGATGTCACAAATTGGAGCAATTCCCTCTATAATATACAGTACCTCAATACCGTATACGAACCTTGTAACCATGAAGAAGCACTTTTTCATCACCCAAAAGATTCGTCTCAAATGTAAGACGAACTTCCAACAGTTTTTATCGCGCCATTTTCGGCACATAAATATCTTCACGTTCATATTCATAATGCATACATTGTTTCGGTACAGTATTTCCGGAAATCTCTTTAGCTGTGTACGGATGGTCAGCTTAATTTACTTGCACAGGAAATGGTGAAGGGATATTATCCAATTTTAAGTTATACCATATTTATGAGAATATAAGCAACCCGTTTTCTAATTTTAGAAGCACAAAAAAAATACGGGATGCTCCTATTTGCATAATCATGCAATTTGCGTAAATATCCACATATAGTAGGAAATTTTCCCGTTCGAGGCCAAAACAATTTACTGTAGTTCCTCCCCTAGTCTTTTTCATTCAAGTAGAAAATAATCAAAAGAATGATCAGGTTTCATCAATTCAAGATGCATGAGTCATTGACTTCAGGGGAAGAGGGTCGTGTGACATCCCATTGTTCCTTTTTGTGGGGAAAACCTTAATTTATTTATAAATTTTAGGTTCTTGGAAAGTCAGAACACCAAGTAAGTTCAGGGTGCTTATTTTGTCGACTGATGGATTTTGTGCATGAAAAATCTGAATACTGTACTGGGTATTGCTCATATATACGGTAGTTATTCGGATGCATCGAATAGAGAAATCGTATTTTTCTGAGCCAATTTTTTGGAGAATAAGGGCGTCTTACATTTGATTTAACGCAAAAAAGTAATCCAATGCGTCCCCTCATAACAAAATTTATCCATTCCTGGACGCGTTTTCCCTCATCATGAGAATGCGTTTTAAAATATTCAATTTTTTTCCAGCAGACACTCAAAAAAAAGACCCCGATAAACCTGTAAACGGTATTTTTCCTATACATTATAAGATATTAAACTAAAATTAATTAGCATTGAATTGAAATAATACTGGTAAGCTTGCGAAATTAAATTTCTGCATCGGAAAAAGGCGAAGGTATGCCTTTCTTTTTTAATTTTTCTTCGATTTTTTGGGAAATTACAAAGCTTAAGCCCAAAAATTGCCAAAATTTGAACGTTTTCTGGCCCCAAGATTTTGTTTCATTTAAGCGAGCCAGTTTCCTCATCCCTCTACATTACGACGAAGAAATTTTGCAATTAGTATTTTTGAACAGGGACTTACTGTAAATTATACTATATTGTTCAATTATCTCCCAAGTCCCGATAGAAGTACATATAGGTCTAGTATTGCTCGTTCCTAAACCGATGAATTCCCGAAAGAAATCAGCACACAATCGCGAATTGTTCCCTCCTTTTCATCGCGTTCGAGCGAATTTCATCACACGCGTCTCGCAAGGAAGCCCAGAACGAATCAAACGTAGCATTGCCGGTCACGGCTCCGAGTCCAGCGGGGTTTTCCCTCGTCGTCTTAACCACCAGCTCTTGTTCCAGTGCTGGTCCTGTTTTCGACCTGGTTTCAATCTCCACAACGTGGCGATCATTTAATGCTGGGTCAGCCACAAGGCGTCCGATAACTCTATCGAATCCAAGGTTGTGTGCGCACAATGCACCCACGGCCATGGTGTTGACGTTGTTGGGAGCCAGGGGACACAACTGCCGAACTGGTCCGTTGTAAAGTTCGATGGGAGCGGAGATCTTCGACGGGTCCGGACCAAGTTTTTCCTATATACACGATTGCGAATAATTTACGGTTCAATTTTTAGTCGTTGAAATTTGTCTTCGAAAATCCAGGTCGAAAATCCGCGTAAGGTATTTATAAGCGGTAGTTATTTGTATATAGTGTTCCTCAACCCATTGTCCACAGAACAGTGCTGGTCCATGGAAGTTTTTTGCTGGTCTACAAGAAATGTTCCTCAACATAATAGATTTACCAAAAGTAGCAATAAAGTCTGGTATCTGTAAATGAAATTTTGGAAAGACAATGCTGGCAGCTGAGATTCCTTGATGAAAAATGAAAGTTGACTTTTCTTCTAGTAAAACTTCAGACAAATTTTTACCAAGTGAAATAATTTAGTTTGATTTTTCATTCTGAAAAACTTTTCTTCAAGCCCACCTTTTTAATTTTTGAAGACAATCCACTATACATAGCTGCTTCACTGCCTCTAATGTTTGCAAAAAGCATAAACTTTTTTCCTTCGAAAATAAAGTCTACCAGCATAAAGTCTTTCGAGTAAAACATTTCAAGAAACCTTGCCAGTCTGCAGAATTTTTTTTTTTTATTTGCTGGTCCACAAAACATTTTATGGAAATTCGACAGTCCACAGGTCCAAGAAGATCGGTGAACATTGGTTCATTGTATATGCACAAGGCTTCTCATTCCGCAGCTGCATATACAGTTTATATTGAAAATTTCAAACGCATAAAATACAGTTTTTTTGAACGGTTTGAAAATATCTTAAAAGCTTCAAATTAGAGCTTTCCTCAAAATCAGATAACGTAATTCCCTGCAAATGCAACGGAATGACCAACGAGGACATTTGAATAAAACTGCTGTACAGGTACAGCTGAATACTCGTACAGAGACCATCGACTTTTTGCCGTACCCCCTCATGTTTCCCCATAGCTCGAGGAACGTTCACTGTACAAAAAGATTGTAGCATCACTTACTTTGAAAAAGACTTCCAAAAAGTATTTTCTACAGAGAAAACTGTGTCGTTTAATCATGTACTAATACAAAAATGAGCATTAGGATTATTCGAGGTGTCGTACAATGCGCAGGAGCGCAACGTCTGAAGTATACAGGATTCACGAAGAATGATTTTTTTAATCGTAGCCATATGACTTTCTGATCACCATAGAATTGCTGCATGGAAGGGAAAATCGCACTTGAAAATTATATTACAGAAGCTTTCACTTCGAAAATATAAATACAGTACTGTACATTCTGCATGGATTAAATATGGTGGACATGCACGCGTAAAAGGAGGTTCTTGCGATTATTATGAAGCGACATCCAGTGGATTTCCGCCACGAACTATAGAACAGCGGCAAAGAAGAATAGATGAGATGAAAGGGGAAACAATAATTTTATCCGGTAACGATTCGCTCCAGCCCCGTGAAAATTATTTGAAATAAAATATTTCGCAATTATTTTCTAAGGAACTATTTTTTTATATTGTGGTTTTATTTTAAATATTTAAAAAATAAAACGCAGCTAAAAAAGGCGTGAGCTTATCGGACAATTATACTTCAGTGTACTGCATCAGCCACGGTTCTCCAACCGTCCATTTATAACTCGGACATTTTAATGGACGTTTCCCATAATAATGCGTCTCATTATTCATGGTTTTTGCACGACGATTCGTCTGAAAAATGTAGAAGCAACTCAATCCGCACTTCAGCACACATACTGCATTGAATTGTGCGCAAAAACTGCTCACGCCAATGCTGCTCAAAAATGGGAACCACAATTCAAATACAGGAACGTACATTGTTCAAGCATATGTATACTGTACAGGCGTTTCCTTCATAATGCTTTCAACTGTACAATGTGGCTTTGATCATTTTGTAATTCGTGATGATGACATGAAAACAAATGTGGGCGTGTATATATGAATATATCCCGTAGATTTTGCTGCAACGTGTGGATGCGAATTATTTTTCCCCGTGACTATAAAATCATTGCGTTAATACGAGATCATGTTTCAATAACGACGGGCAGCGCGTTAAAACTTAATGGCTCAAACATTACGCAGCAAACTTTGCCTGCATATGATGAATCACTCTCGATACCTTTAGCTCTTCAATCTTCAGGCAGCTCGGATGCTTGCGCATGGTAATGACGAGCGACGACAGGGTGCCCAAATCCGCCATTTTCCTGATGTCGTTTGCTCCCCAAAACGCGCCACAAGGCACATACACCTTCGCACCAGACTGCGCACTAGCCGACTCCAAATCACGCATCACACTCTCATCAGCCAACACGGACGGCGACCCGATGAAATAATTGCATCCGCTCTTGATCACGGAACTGCCAATAACCCGTGTAACGTCCGGGTGGGCAACCTCAACAACCACATGAATGGACGGGTTGCTGTTGCTGGACGTGCGTTCGTCCTTGGGTAGTAATTGCGGTAGGTCACGCTCCAGATCTGTGATCACGGTAGGAACGCGATGCTTAAAGGCTAGCTTCTCTGCGCCTTCCGGGGATCTGTTCCACACCAACCCGATTTCCATGGACTCTTCCTGGTTGATCCGGTCGCATAAATATTCCCCTGATGTATTACGTTGTTGTGTCATGATTGATGGTTGAGCATACAGGGGTGACAGGCTTCCGACGCGGAATACTAATTAATACAGTACAAAGGATCGAACTCTCTACCATTGCCCATTGTGACTGGGAATGCGATCATCTATGTGCGAATTTCGATGCATATTGGTTGGGATGAGTAATCCGAAGAGACCTGAAATCCTCGCACTTTGTACGCAAGCAACTTCATTTCGCCACGACGATTGAGAAATACTGGCAAGTCATGATCTTCGAAATTGTTGGTACGTTGGATCAATCTAGAATTGTTTCCGCACTTCGTTACGGGAAACATATGTTCTCGTACAAGCCTAAGTACACTCAAGAGTTCGAGTGTACTGCATTGTTTTGTACAGTATATGCAAGCCATATATATAGGCCGCGCAACAATAACTTTCGTGCAGGCATTTACGAAAGAAAGAAACGCAAATGAGCCAGAACCATTCGGAAGTTTCCGGGGGTATTACTATAGATCTGGAATAAATACTGCTAATTTCACGAAAAATCATTATTATCGTAAAGTTTCCGGATAGGAAGGTCTGCTGAAGTGAGATACTGTGCTGCTGTGTACTTCTGCAGTTGTTTAAGGAAAAATTAAGGCAGTGCTGCTGAATACTATATGTCATTTTTAAAAAGTACTAGGACTTTGGGCTTACGTATCCGGTGTCAGTAAGCTCTCTCCCTCTCTACGCCGGCAATATACATTCGACGCGCTTACTCCGTTAGTATGCTACACATATATGTCACCCAACCTTCCGCACCCTAGAATACCGATTCGGATCATGATTGACCGATGCAAGCTTCAGAGAAGTGAGACCCACAATAACGTGTGCTCCGAAGCAGTCTTTTTCAACTAAAAGATGAGATTGAGTCTATCCTGCATAAGGTTACGCAGGCAACGAACTTATTAGCATTTTTTAATGACCTTGCGCTCGCATCGCACACTGACAAGAGTTCGATTCATTCTTCTTTAGGCGCGGTTCAATCAAAACCTTCATCAAAAATACTTAACACACTGATTCACACTTCCGTACTCATATTTCCAGACGGCCGCTGTGGGCTCCATTTACAAATATTTACGGAAATCAAATCCACTTTTTAACAAAAGGATTCTTATTCAACTGATTTCCGTAGCCAACCAAGAGACACGAAGGACTTCGAATGGCAGAAGATGACCGAAATACTTTCAAGTAAATAGCTCCCTCGTCTTTTAACAGAGATCTCGATCGACGTATGCATTTACCCCGAATTTTTGATACACTTAGAAAATCCACATCTTCACTGCGCGCGGACAGGACCGAACGTATAGAGGAATACGGACTCTAGCAACTTCTCATCGTTGACCAAAAATCCTAGCGCATCACTGAATCGATTTCGAAGAAAAGCTATGATAACACTGATCAGGAAACTCGTTTCCTGATAGCTTTGGTCGAACTGCGTCCAGGCTCGGAAGACCGAAGCCAACTAACGTGCGTCCCACTCGGGGCGTTTCCTTTATTTAATGCGCTCAGGTATTCCCCAGGGTTCCGAATAAATTATTCAGTCCGGCTCACATGCAGTTTTTTTCCAGGACCTGTGCCAGGGAACAACGGCGGGAATTATGCTGAGGCCTTCTATGATTCCACGATATGCTGCTTTCCGCGTACCAATTCGAGGAAATGTGAGCTTGAGGGGCAAGTATATGGGAAGGGGTTTTTTTTCGGGGTCGTTTAGTATTCATTCGCGGTGATCCCGAATTTTCGCTGAATTTTTGGATTTTTCATGCGGAGTCGGCAGGAATTTTCGATTCCGCGAAACATTTGGAAAAATACAAGGAATCTACTGCGTGAAAGCAGCACCTCCAAGGTTTGATGTAAATTATGGATTTCAAATTGCGCTGCTGACGGGATGAATCGAATCGTGATTGTCGTCCTCCAAGATTTTGAATGAAGACAAAGATTAACTGAAAATTTAAAGAAAGACAAGATGATTTTACACCAATTATTCGTCCTTGTGAAGTAAATTTATTTTCCCAAGACGTTGTTCACAGCACACTGCGACGGAATACATTGTTAGAAAACTTATTTTCGTTTTTGTAAAGTACTGTACATTTTTACAAAAAAAGAGGAAGTGTTCAGCATTCTACGGCTGCAACTCTTTGTGCTACATAACATTGAAATGACAATGCTTAAATTTACCTAATAATCTTTCATGTTCTCCTTTATTTAACCCTGCCTCAAACATTTCAAGTTTAATGGAAGTTTTTCTCAAACATGAAGATACAGTTGAACTTCAATAGCTCAAACATCCCCAAGTCAAATTCCTCCTTCTGCATGAAGAATTTTTTTCAAGTCCCTGCATGAATTCCCTTGAAAACAATGTATTAAAAACTTCCCTCAACTCAATGGCTTTCCTCCTCTAACCTCTGCAATTCGAATTTGCTGGGGGCCTTTTGGATATAATTTTATTGACACAGGGAAGAGAAACGTGTAAGAAAGTAACCTGATGCCTGTTGGGGAAAAAAGTGAGACTGATCCAGCAAATGAACTTTTGTCTACAGCTTCAGCCTCCTGTCAACTCATTCTAGAAGCAATTTGAAGCCCAATATATTTTTCAAATCACAATTTCCTGCACTTCTTCTTACAGTAACTCACAGAAATGCTTCGTTTCCCCAAATCGATTTTTGCCAGTCCCTTGATGCTTAACTTAAAAAGGTTTGAGCGTACTGTACTTATACTCTTGAAGGAATGAAGTGACCAGCACAGGAGTACAGGAGTACGCAATGCGGACAGAAGTATTCGGTTGGAATCGTCTCTCAAGGTTGAAGTGAAGAGGGTATCATTCGAAAAAGATAGGGAGACCCAAATGCACTAAAGGTGATCGATCAATACCGCATTATCTTCTACTGCAATCTGGTCACCAGATACGGGGAGCAACGCTTTGATCGCCTGTTCGTGATAGGACGACGCAGTCATGGTAACTTCCCTCAACTCAATGGCTTTCCTCCTCTAACCTCTGCAATTCGAATTTGCTGGGGGCCTTTTGGATATAATTTTATTGACACAGGGAAGAGAAACGTGTAAGAAAGTAACCTGATGCCTGTTGGAGAAAAAAGTGAGACTGATCCAGCAAATGAACTTTTGCCTACAGCTTCAGCCTCCTGTCAACTCATTCTAGAAGCAATTTGAAGCCCAATATATTTTTCAAATCACAATTTCCTGCACTTCTTCTTACAGTAACTTACAGAAATGCTTCGTTTCCCCAAATCGATTTTTGCCAGTCCCCTGATGCTTAACTTAAAAAGGTTTGAGCGTACTGTACTTATACTCTTGAAGGAATGAAGTGACCAGCACAGGAGTACGCAATGCGGACAGAAGTATTCGGTTGGAATCGTCTCTCAAGGTTAAAGTGAAGAGGGTATCATTCGAAAAATTATCCCTCTGGGTTTACGTGATTTCCACTAGCTAGTTATGGCGTAATAGAAGATGACGTTAGACCAGTGGTCTATGCCCCTCGTTGCGAAACTAGCGGACAAGCACTATCCTGCTGCGTCAGTACCATGCCTGCTGGCATAAACACTTCCTCGAAAAGGTTTGTTCGTCGTTCTACTATAGGAGGCATGCAACTTTAACCTTCTTGAGGTACACTCACACACGCGCACATCAACATTTCCAGAACACGTTCTCTCGGAAAGTGTGCCGCGAAAAAGAGAGCACTCGGAAGCCCGAAATTCGATGAATCAAGATACACACATTTTACACCCATAAACAAAACACGTTTTATTTACTAAAAAAAAGTACACGTTTTTGTTACAGGAGATGAAGCAAATATCATCTTACAGCCCTTGAAAATTCGAGAACGATTGCCCATAGACCCGGCTAGAAAGCAAGTTTCCAGCTCACAGAAGTTATAACAAATGAAAAAAAAATCCAGAATGCCTCCGTCGAGCTCGAACGACTTTTCGAGGTAATCAAAAGCTATCAATTTACACCAAAAAATTTCACAAGGAAACCATCGATAGTTTACAACTTTGAACATGGAGAACTGAATTATTTTTGAACCAGCGTTACGGGGCTTACACTAAGTCAGGAAGCTTGTTCCCGCTCGTCGCAGACCACTTGGTACTGTTGGACAGCTTGAGGACGAGCATCTGGAGCAGAAAGTCAAACTTTATCAGCGTCCAAAGGGAAGAAAACCCTTTGCGTCTCAGAAGCTCTTCTTCTGCACTCATCTATGAATATGGAACATCAAGTAACGTTTTACGCGTGGATCCAAAAACGTTTTTCAAGGTAGAGTCGAACAGAGCAGTGAATTTTTCCCTACGAGAGTCGAAGAAGTCAATCAGACTTTTCTCAGATCCTGTTTTCACGAAGTTTCATCTATTTTATTTTTCAATCCAAAGGTTTCAAAGCCGGATGTAACAAATTGAATCAGTTCAAGTCGAAGCTCATAGAAAAAGTTAATTCACGTGTTCATGCTTTGCCACATCGACTCGGTTCAAAATGACGTCTCAGAAAGAGTCTTGAGGAATCGAAGTCTCGCTACTCTGGTTGACTGGTGTTCATTTTTTCAAAATCAGGATGAGCACCAGACAAGGAACATTGTGACGTTATTTCATCTACATTAAATTAAAAAAATAAACTTATTAAAAATAAACTGCTTCGCATTGGGGAAAATTATGTAAAATCAATTAATCAAGTATATCGGCTCGTGATGGAGAACAGCTTTTTTAATTATCGGCCTTTTGAAAGTTGACAATAGTTTTTTTTTAATCTGTTCAAGATCTTTAAAAAGGTACACTCCAACCTCATCTTATCCCGCGGTTTTAAACGGATCTTTAGTAGAGGAATGAATCCGTCAATCACACAGGGTTGAAATATTTGAGAATCTTTTGTCAAACTCAACCATACATCCTTGTTTTAAATTACAGCGTGAGGACTGATTTTGCCAAATGCACTGAATTGATTAAAGATGGTTCGAAACAAACTTTTGCGCAATAAGCGGGAATATGTTTCTACATCATCTGAATGATAATGTTCACTGCATAATTTAATCTCGTCTGAAAGAATGACATTATTGAAAAGCTAAAACGCAAGCAGCCGAAGAAAATGAGATTTGCTGGTTCACAAATATTTCACTGTACTCGAATACAGAGCATGTAACCGCGCAGCCTTTTCGAAATCGACTACGCAATATGCCACAGATTAATTTTATTTTTGAGCTATTGCTACAATTGGATCATCCTTCCTGTCGACAGAACCGTAAAATCTTGTTACAATGAAGTCGTTAAAAGAGAGAAAAAGCCTCGTTACACAAAAGTCTGCGGTACAACGATTCGAACAACCCATTATCAACAGAGACATCTCACCTCTTTTTGATGCTCAACGTGCTGATGATGAGCTTCCGTCGAGTGCGAATGTTTCGCATGAGGCTGCAGAAGCATCTTCAAAACAAATTTCACGTTGCTGTGCAACGTTCGTGCCTCGTGCCGATGTCGTTTGTGGAAATGATCCACGTGTTCCCAGAAATAATATTTACCACCAGGAACCAAAATTCGTTTGATCTCGTCAACGAACTTCTCCAAATCGTCCGCATGGCACAGGGTCATGGTAGTTATCACTACATCCGCGGATGCATCGGGTATTTGCTTCATGTCTTCGCCTTTGGCTGTGGATGAAAAGCATGCAGTCGAAGTCGACATATCAAAATCGGACCTTAAAAATCATCAGTTTTTCTGCAATAACAAATCCACAGGCTTGTCACACATTGCATTCATTTACATGCATGATTAAACTCGATACTACGCGTCAAATCTCATTAAAACAAACTTGTAGAAACTTGAAAATCGTTGATTTTGTAAAATTCGTCATATCGAGATTCGTATACTGAATCCTTATAAATACTGTAACTCGTGGAATAAAGGACTATTTCCTTAGAATCAGAGTTTTTTCCGGACACATCAAAGTATTCGAAAGAATTGAAGTCTTCCTGCAGAATGACACATTCATCACAGCAGAATTACAGTGAAAAAAAAGATCAAATGAAAAAAAAAAAGTTTTCAATTCCCATAAATACTGCGCTGTAAAGGGAGAACTGCAGAAAATTAGCAATAAAGTAATTTGTTGTACTGTGTACTGAAATTTCGCTGTAACGACATATATTCATTATTGTGTTCATGGAGTTTACAAAAACCTCACACAGTTCGTTGACACGGTATTTCTCATAACGGAATTCGACCTGCATTGGCGTCACGTCGCCAAACTTGGCCAGGAGGTCAATGATTTTGTGCAATTTTGCTACAACGTAGCCATTATTTTTCGGAAGGAAATCTTGCCCAAGGTTTCCAGCACAATTTAAAGAACAGAGAAGCTTGCCAGTAATGCAGTCATTTTGATCTGCAAGCATTATCGGAATATCAATCCCCTCTTTTTCAAATTTTCATCGTTCGCTACTCAAGATATTCAGAACTCGTAATCCTTGCACAATTTTGTGTACTTTGTTGTCTCCATAAGCTCTTAAAATGCGAAGTCATTTCCCTGTAAGGACGTTAATTTTTTTTTTTTTTCCTGCCCTCACTTCGATCAGGAAAGAGCTTCAAGTGAGAATTTAGGGACCTTCGGACCCTCTGAGTTCTTCATTTCATCCGTCAGTTTGAGCTGGCGGAAATGAACTCAGAGATTTTCACTTTACTCCTCATCTTCCTCAGGAATTCTTTGTTCCGTGTACTGTAAGCATGCCAAGTCATCATCAGTTAGTCTTTTTCATCTTGACAAAGGCTAGCCCAAATCGACGCAAACCGAGTCGAGCAGAGGGTTTCGAAAGATTCCAGATCACTGTCCAACTTCGCAAATTTTCGAAGCTATATCTCGATGCAAAAGAGGTAGAAGGAAAACTTATCATAAAATTCAAGGACCCAACAGGAGTAGGACTGCACATTCGGAAGGCTCACGAAGAAAACGATCTTCGGGACCTTGTTCAAAGCCGTGCAACGATTAAACATTCGAAGTACGTGATGAGAATAGCCAGATCCTGTACAGTATTAATGCAAAACCCGGTGCAACCTTATACAGAACATCACACAAGGCAGCTTTACAGGAAGAAGTCAAGCTAATTCAACACACCGCTCGTAGAAATTCATTCATACCGCTCGTAGAAATTCATTCATATTTTCGACTTACCCACAATATACTTCTCGATTTGTACCTGACTCTGATCGAGCCGCCGCTTAAAATAAGACTCGAACTCGGGGTTCGGATCCACGCCGATTACGACAGCATTCTTTGGATAAAACGGAGCATTGACTCCGGTCCCACTTCCAACGTCCACGATGCGAATTTGCTTCTTCTCAACGAGCGCAGGATCGTGCGAGGATATTTCACGCAACGAAGCGAAATGAGCCGCCTTGTGGATAGAAGCTAGTTCATTGTAAGACACCAGCGTCTTGTTGAAAAGCCAGGCATCAGCTTTTTTCTCCAATACCGGCGTATTTGCTACGACCACGTATAATCCTCCTGCTGCAACAGTCGATGCTCCCAGCAACTTTACGATATTACGGAGACGCAGAACAACCGCCATCTGAAAACAAGAGAACTCTGCGTCAGATGTTACGGGCGAACAAGGAAAAAGCAAATTGCATTCATACGGTTTCTTTCACAGCACCTCAAGAATGGTAGGGAGTGTTAGGTAAAGCAGATAAGGGTTATTTTTGGAAATCCTTCTCAAGGCGATTATCGTCAGCCATCGTAGGAAACGAAGGAAAGGTGCGGTGAAACGAAACGATAACACACCAATGAATCAAGATCGTTTCTTTTTTCCCAGGAAATGCTTGCAATTTTTATTGAATCAAATACTCAACCAGAGCTCGTAAAAGATAATTAAGGGACAAGTTTCTTTCACGCGGGACTCATGATGCATGGCTAACACAAATATTCCGACGGAATGTTCATTTCCCTTCCTTAAACCCTCAATTCAACGCAGTTCTTAAAATTCTGCAAAATATATCAAGATCTTATTATCACCGTAGAAGAGCCATTTGTCAACCGGAAACATAGAAGAGAAACGCAATCCGCGGCGACGTACTCAAGATAAAAGGGCAGAATAAATACAACAGAACTCAGGTTGAGGGAACCGCAATAAAAAAAAAGAAACCCCGATAAGAAAAAATTCACTGCTCTGCGGCGTCCATCTCGTCAAATGACACAATGAATGACACTCCGGAGTTGTTCTCCGCTATGACCGTAACTCCGGGCGACGACGGAACGGAGGAAGGAAACCCAGCACAAAACGAGGAAGTGGGTGAGGCGATTCCGGAACAAAGTGGTACGTTTTCTTCTTCCGGTGTCGTCGTACTGCTGCAACCGCTGCTGCTTTCGCCAAGGTTGAAGTTGCGAGATGCCAACGCCAGCCGATGCATCAACGGAGATCTCAGTCCATTTCTCTTGTTTCCGCTTTCCCTATTCATGCCACAAATCAAAATCAACCCGCTCTGTAATCTCCGATTTGATTTATATGCAGACACAAGAAAACACGCTCCTCGACGTGAAATTTAATGCAGCAGTACTTCCTAGATCGAACCAGCCTCCGTAAGACAAAAGATAATAGAGAAATGGTCTTTCGCTCTCGTAGGTTCCCGACCTTCGCGGGAGAAAAATAAATTCGGACGTGCTTGAATTGCGAAATCACAGTATATTTTCAGTTCCAGCTACTCGTACTGATAGAAATAGCCCAGAAATCAGCTTCAAACTGGCTCGGATAATACTAATGTCTTCATAACAGGCGCATGTCCGATAAATTTACTGTAATCACGAATTCCATTTTCGTTCTCAAGTTGGGATATGTAAAGTACTGTACTGTATATCTTCAATCATCCGGGCTTCGCAACTTTCTTTCAACGGAACGATTTCATTCCCTTCATTTCCCACTACGTTCATACTACATCAAAAATCTATCAGAGATGACGCCTTGTCAATTTTCGGGCACGTTCAAAGACTTTCGGAAAATACTCTCGCATAATCACAACTTACACAAGGTGATGAAGGGGTGAATGAAGAGAAACAGGCGATTTCAAGGAGTTCGACCGGCGCATTTTCGAGTGCCCAGGCAATGTTGTGGACTGCGGCGAAGATTCTCCGGGTCCATTATCTCCTTTGCGGTCACCGCAATTGAGATCGAGGTTCCATTTGCCATTGTGGGAACCGGACGACAATTCTTCCTTGTGTTGAATCTTGTAGCGCAACATGGTGAGTTCTTGCTGGTAGGAGTTCCGTTCCGTGCTACACTTGGTCAAAGCCTCCGACAATGATTGCTTTTCGTGGAAAAGATCTTGGCTTTTCCTGAGAAAGCTCAAATTGAACGTCTGGTCCAGAAGTAAATCTGCGAGGTTTACTGCGTGCGCCAGTGCCATAAGAACGTCGAGGAGAAACGTGACGAGGTTGTATGACGGACTAGAGGCATTCACAGAGAGCTCCTGGAACGACAACATGTATCAGAAACTTGATTCTAAAAACGTCAGCAACTTCTGTTTTAAAGAATTTTATGAATTTTCTACAGATGATCGTATTCGTTCCATGATAAATAGCCACTCATATTCATGAAATTACTATTGCATAGAAAAAACTTCTTCCAGTAATGAACAGATGAATTTTCGCATTTCTTTCTTGCGGAACGTAGGGTTTCCCGAAGAAATGCCCTTCTTCAAAATTTCCTTGATTGTATTTAAAATGCAAGAACTGAAAATAGATTTGAAAATTGTATAGCAACGAAGCCTTGCATTCAACGAATAATACTCGATGGTTTTGAAAGAGGTTGAAGGAAATGCACGGCGTCAGTGATTTTCCCGATGACATGCACAGAAAAAATTGTGACTTCTCACAAAATGTTTAAGTCAATGCTGTAGATAGAAAAGAAATACTATAAAAAATGAAAATTCACCAAAAAACGTGGAAAAAGCGATTTTTTTCGAAGCTACTCCTTCAACTTTGAAAGTGATAGTTCAACATAGGAGGGTAAAGTACCTCAAATCATTTTTAAACAGCATCTCGACCTTATCCGATCCCAATGTGACGCTAATTGTTTTTACAAATGAAAGATATTAATGAACCACACGCTTCATCCGCCAATGATGAATATTTCTGGCGACTCGCAGAACTTTCGAATGACCTTCTCAGGAAAGTATGGAGTTAACGATAGCTTTGAACTGGTCCAGACGAACTCGAGGGATCACATTCACCCCCTTCTTCCCACAGTTTTCCTTCAACCGAAAAAGGACTCTTTCGAGTTTAACTTGCAGACCAGGTCTTCATTTAGACGCTCCAAATGACGCACGCGGTCACGGTATTCTTGCAGCTCCTCTTTGCACTGCTCCAACATACTGCCTGATCTCCGTAAAACAGAGAGCTCCTGGAACGACAACATGTATCAGAAACTTGATCTTTAAAAATGTCAGCAACTTCTATTTTAAAGAATTTTGTGAATTTTCTAGATGATCGTATTCGTTCCATGATATATAAGTATATAACCACTCATATTCATGAAATTACAACGGCATAGAAAAAACTTCTTCCAGTAATGAATATGAATTTTCACATTTTTTTCTTGCGGAACGTAGGGTTTCCCGAAGAAATGACATTCCCAAAAACTTCTTTGATTCCATGTAAAATGCAAGAGCTGAAAATACATTGGAAAATTGTATAGCAAAAAAGCCTTGCATTCAATGAACAATACTCGACGGTTCTGAAAAAGGGTTGAAGGAAATGCACTGCGTCAGTGAATTTCCCGATGACATGAACAGAAAAAAATTGTGACTTCTCACAAAATGTTTAGTCAATGCTGTAGATAGAAAAGAAATACAGTACTATAAAGGATGACAATCCACCAAAAAACGTCCTTCTACTTTGAAAATGATAGTTCAACATTGGAGGGTAAAGAACCTCAAATCATTTTTAAACAGCATCTCGACCTTATCTGATCCCAATGTGACGCTAATTGTTTTTAAAAATGAAAGATATTAATGAACCACACGCTTCATCCGCCAATGATGAATATTTTTGGCGACTCGCAGAACTTTCGAATGACCTTCTCAGGAAAGTATGGAGTTAACGATAGCTTTGAACTGGTCCAGACGAACTCGAGGGATCACATTCACCCCCTTCTTCCCACAGTTTTCCTTCAACCGCGAAACCATGAGCATGACAAATGGTGCTTCACCTGGATCTGAAGTTCCTGGATGCTTTTGAAGGACTCGTTCTCTTGCTCCAGCTGCTTGCAACGTTCTCGCACTCCCTGTACTCTGGTGTCCACCTTTCTCTTCACCACGTCCTCCACCGACAGGTCTTCAAGAGCTTGCTGCTCGTCTCGCCGCTTCAGCTCAGCACTCACTTCTTCGAATTGCTCCTTCAAAATGGCCTCGGATCGGAACTTCTCAGCGAGTTTCGCCTCCAGATCCTTGCAAGCCAGCCTCAACCCGTCTAGCTCGGCATTCAACGCTAGCATCTCCACTTGATGACGCTCAAGTGCTCGATTGGCTTCTTTCTTCGCGTTTAAATTGTCTGAAAACATTTGGAAAAATTCTGATTAATTTTCTCGAAAAAGAAAAATCACGAAAACCGAAACAACGCTTGCAGTCGGCGCCATGGAAACTCGTGTCTGTAGAACTGAAGCTGGAAAAGCTTTTTTATTTTATTTTTTTTTAAACGGAAAACCAGTGTCACGGGAATTCAATGCAGTCATTCAACAACAATCCCCTCGATTTCATTTTTTTTTTAATGAAATTTGGCAACATGAAAACATCGTACTGTACGAGGGGTCTAACAAATGTTTTCGGAATATGAATTGAAATGGCATACGATTGAGCTGAAAAACAAGTATTTCTCAGAAAAAAAAAAAATTTCCGAAAGAAAAAAAATTCAGCCTTGCTTGACATATTTTTGCAATTTTTATTCGACAAAAGTCACTCCGAAAGCTTTCAGATCTTCACTCAGAAAATGAGGCGCCCATCTTGCAGATTTTTTTGATGTACCCCAGCTTTCCCTTCAGAATTCTCGAAATTGACATGGCATTCATTCCGAGGGTTTCCACCATGAATTGATTATTAATTCCGCCGTTTTCATCAACAGCCGCAACTTGGGATAAGAATGCGGCGGCTGACATTGAAAATGGCTGAATTAACCCAGAAGACCTGGAGGCAACCCTTGGAATTAATGCCATGTCGATTTCAAGAATTTCGCAGGAGAACCAGGGAAAAACCAAAAATCTCCGAGATGGGCGCCTCATCTTTCCAGTGAGGAGCACAAAGCTCCCGAGATAACTTTTCCAAATAAAATGAAAAATTCTGTACTTTGAAGATGGCTGAATTTTTCCCTTGCGCCATAGAAACTTTTTTTTATAAAACAGGAACTCTTTTTCAGCTCAATTATATACCATTTCTATTTCTATCCCTGTATCCCGAGAACTTCTGTTAGACCCCTCGTATATCCAACCTAACCTGCGTTACTTTATGCGCTTGTATCCTCGACGCTCATTTTCCATAGCTGTGGTCTTCCTACGACTCCAGGGGCGACGATTAATACTTTATAGTATTTCTACGGTTCCAAGATTTACAGTTACGGCAGTACTTACGATGTTCCAATTTTGCTTCGTACTCCTCCTGAAGTTTAGTGGCAATAGATTTCAATTCAGTTTCATGTGAGACCTTGGAATTCTCCAGTTCAACCAAAATGCTCGCGTTTCTTTCCATAAGTCGGTCTGTCAAAAACAAAACAAAAAACACAATGAAAATTTCAGGATGACGCATTTCGGAATATTCACAGCGCATTCGGGAAGGTCGTGAATAAGATTTTCGGCACAATAAAAGAATGCGGAAAATCAGAATTTACATACCCTGCTGCGTGAGAGCATGCTCCAACCGCATTCTGAGATCAGGTGCATAGAGACCATTCATCTGCAGGCAAAAATAGCAAGGATATACGTTTCCAAAAAGGTGAACAAGAAGAAAAAAGCGCAGCTCTACACGGTGAGGAACATGCACTTCATAAAACGCGTTCCAAGACAAACTAACTACGGACATTCTTCAAAATATTTTCCGAAACTTCACCACTCAAAAATAATATAAATGAAGCTAATAATACCTGGGGAAAACCCACATGAAGAGAATGAAAACACCGGAATACTGCACCTAAGACGTGAAAAATACCCTCAGTATTTCTAGATTGAGAAAATAATGTAAAAACGCGGCTGTCGACAAACTTTTGAAGTTCTAAGCATGATACACGTTGTGACATGCATGACTCGTCAAGCGGACGTGAATTTGAAGTAACACACACGCGAATTTCTCAATCATTTCAAACTACGTATAAGGACAAGCATCACATGACTTGAAAAAGTTGTGATTATCAGTAAAAATACTCAAGAGAATGTAAGAAATCCAAGAAAATGTTTTGCAACTGGGAAGGAAACGAAATCGACTCTCGATAATGAATCCAACTAATCTGGAAGACCTTGACACAAATACACTTGTGCATCAACTTCCCAAAAAAGCAAAATCCTTAGCATCATTCCGCTCCATGAATTCATACGTTTGAAATCACCAGTACGGCATTTAAAAAATCGGTTGAGAGACCATAGAAAAACATTTTGGGGAAGCTGGCAGATCAGGGGATATAAAAAAGTTTTTTTTTAATCCAAGCCTGGTCGAAGTACAGCACTTCAAAATAAAAACAAGCCTTACGAACAACAAGAAAAAAAAATGACGTAGCCATTGGAAAACACTTCTGGACTACCTGTTACAACATTGCGGACACCGGAGTAATTTTTCGTCGGACGAAAATAAGAAGTGGAATATACAGTACTGTATTGTATCTTCATTGAATTCAAATTGAGGATAATTTGTAGAAAACAACCGTCTTTCCATTGCGTTTTTTATAAAAGCCAATCACAGATTTTCCACAACTTGTTGTTGGAATACGATAGACTCGATTTCATTGAATCGTATTCCAACAAAAAGTTGTGGAAAATCTGTGAAATTATTGCGAAATATACTGGGTTCATATAAATAAGTTTTTCAAACTAAGTTTTTTCTAGAAAGGTTACCGTATTAGAAAAACTTCTAGTACAGTACAGTAACTGTACTAGAAAAACTAGAAACTGTACTAGAAAAACTTCTGGTAGAGTACAGTAACAGACTAGAAAAACGTTGACATTTAGATGAACGCAGTACATCGCACAGGAGGTAGCCCATTTGAAAATTCTAGATTTTAGCATGTCAGAATAATTAATCTCAATTGAATATTTCAATCAACCATTATGAATGCTCGAGTAATAAAAAAGTAAGCAAAATGCTAATGCCGACCAAATTTCGATTGATCAGAATTGCAAAGAAAAAAAGTCTCGAACCTTTTCTTCGCAACATAAAAGAAAATTCGAGCAACTCTCTGATATAGCACACGGTGCACAAAAGCTACCACGAACCTTCATGGTACGTCAGTCAAGATAAAAAGAATTCATCTAAACAATACAGCACGGCAATACCGATTCCTTACGAAAAAACTTCGGACGAAGGTTAATTTTCGTTTCTATTTTTTTTTAAATCGAAGAATACTTCATAAAACCCTTAGAAAGACTCGCTAGCTTTTACAAGGTCGGCGGAAATTATTCGCGTTTGCGCACATAACGCTCCAACATCATTGCGATCTTGATGGAGCAGAACAGGCGGAGTCTCTGCAAATATTTTATCTACAACAATTTTCTCTGTAGATCGATTTTTTTTGTCCTCAAGTCAAGGGTTCTCTATCCATGTTATAGGGGTTCTCTAAAAGGAAATTATCTTTTGTTCATATAATTTATTTCTAAGAGAGTTCCCATGTACAAAGTTTCCGGAATAATGCTGCACCTTCATCAAAATGAGAGATCGAAATATTTTATTTTGCTCTGAACTGTACAGTTGACAGTTGATTAACAAACCAAGCCAGTCCCGGGTAAAAATTCAGGGAGAGAAAAGTTTGCTGACCAATCTTGGATTTACCACAGACGTCATTTGGAAAACAATTAATCTGTTCCTGTCAAATCAGAGTTGAAATCGGAAAATTGTTTACTTATTCATGCTATAATCTCGCAACACGTCCGCAATCCTTGCATTTCCGGCAATTGCCTCCTTGAAAAAAAAAACTAGCATTCTTTTAAACTGAATTTAAATTTCCGCACTCCATTCTTGCTGAGTAAGTTCACTAAAGCATTGTAACTTGAAAAGCTGCTAAATTTTTCGGAAATGCAGAGAAAAAATCGCAAAAGCACAACTTTCTTTCCCTTCGTAGAAACTAGTGTACATCTTAGTGTTTCAGAAGCAAACTTCAAAACACAAAAGGAAGTTAATAACGTCCCCACTAACAGAAAAAAATGAAAACACGCAGAATACTCATTCAGGATGCCAAGAATCACACGTTAGCACAATTTCGATTTGTTGCATTATACGTGTGCCCTCATCAGAAGTTTGTTGACTGGATTTATGCTCGTTAAAAAGGGTTGAATATCTTAATCAGCGTAATATTGAATTGACATTTTTCAGAGGAGGAATCTAACCCACGACCAATTATTAGCAGTACAGTACTCATATACTTGCTTTTTGGTGTTGTATGTCGAACAAAGCTAAAAAGAAACGCTTAAATTCTTTTCCGAATAATACGGTATATGCCTCTTTCTGTATACTGGATTTCAAGATTGAATCTAGCACTTAAATATTGCACAGATCCATAGAAAATACTGCAACCCCGTCTACTGGTTCTGAAAAGTTGATTCTCCTCCCTAAAATTAGGAAACCAAAACTCAAACTTTGAGACCGGTATCCATATACTGTACTGTATCTTCGTGGATCGTTTTTTTTTTCATTCCGAAAATTGTATAAACTGAATCAAAATTTCAATTAAATGTTGTAAATAAAGTTAAACCGTACAGTACATGGTTCCAAATGAAGTACAGTAACGTACAGAAAAAAAATCCCCTCTTTCGCAACAATGAAAGCCTAACCTCGGAAACTTGAATACTGTACGAGAAAACTCCGCGCTTTCCTTTTTCAAGGTAAAAGGAAATCACAGAAAGCTCTTCGATATCGCACGACCAAAAAATTGTTCTTTGTACATATAAAGTAAAGATTTATATAAATATCCTTTCAACTGGGAAGTAATAAATCACGGAACTCACGTCGAAGGCCAGGTGTTTGAAAGCTACAACGAAAGCTTCCACATTGCGAGACGTAGCCAACAGTTGCGTCTCCGCCCTTCGCAAATCCCTCTCCTTGCCAACACACTGCAAACACGATGAGGGACTCGTGACTAGCTGGCCACCACTTGACAAAACCAAGCTGGCCAAATCCTCCGCTTGGCACTGCTCCATCGGCGACGGGGTCGTCGCCGCCGCCTCCTCCGCATGTCCTCCTTCTTCTTCTCCTCCTCCGGGCCTACCACCAGTCGAAATCCCTCGCAGAGTTCCATCAAGTTCCACCGGGATCGGCGGCGTTAGGTGTGGCTGCGCCGACGCATCCATATCCGATGATGGATTGCAAATAGGATGATGGATATAATCTTGCGGTAACACGGGGAACATCGGCGGTTGTGTTGTCAGGATTGCAACAGGCTCGGCTAAGGCCAAGGCTACTGCTGCTGGTGGTGGTGGCGCCTCCGCAGAAACAGTCGTGTTTGCAGCAGGGGCTTGTTTCTTGGCCACCTGGCTCACGGTGGTGGATGGAGCAAGTTGCCGTTTGGCGCCGGCTGGAACACGTCCGTTTGTTTGCTTGCTACCATTGCTGCTGCTGGTAACAGGTCTGTTTGGCCCTGAGCGCGTGGGCGGATTCCTGACAGCTTTCTGTTGCATACAATGACAGATCCCCAGGAAACCATCGATTCATTTTCAAACTTTCACCAACCATCAGCAGCAAACTAACTACTGTACTTCGTGTTTTATTTTATTTTTATAATTCTATTTCAAATAAACACTGCCCAAGAGAAGACGCAAACAGGGCTGAGAATATGAGGGTCGGTCCCAGTTGGAAGCGACTTCTGATATTTTCAGAATAGGTGCGATTGTAGAAGAGAAAAAACCCCTGACATAGCTCATGATAGTCCAAGGTTCAGGAATGCTTTCTATATTTTTAATTGTTTTTCAATCGTATGCATCATAATCGGTGAACAATTTCCAGTTACAGCCAGAGTTTCCACCCAGTTCACAAGGTGATGAAAATTTCTGAGGCCAGCTAAAAATTGATTTTTGTTTTGTTTCGCCAATTATCTTGTCTAAATTTTAAATAATGATTAAAACAAAAAATCGATTTTTTATCTCGCCTGACCAATTTTAGCACCCTTTAACATGGGTGGAAAACTCTGGAAAGTTTTCAATTCTCATCATGCAGAAAATGTGATAAAAGTAAAAATCTGAAAAAAAAACCCCACAACCTCATGGACTGTGTCATATTCTTTTTTTTTCAACAATCACACCTAGTCTGAAAATATCAGAGGTAAATTTAACTACCGCCACGAGAAAGTTCGCTCTCCCCTTTTTATTTTATTGCTTTGCAGCGTTGTGTGTATGGAGATCGGAGTAATTTTCACGAAGTAACGTTTCATCATCCGATCACTTATGATGTCTGTTCACCCCGGTTCAAATGGGGAGAAAGTTGGGAGTTGAAAGTGCAACCCATCATTGTGAGAAAATAGGGTTTACCCGCCACATTTGCATGTTCTACGAGTTTGCAGGTGGTACTCTAGTACTCACTCCAGTGCTAATATCCTCGAAATCATTGAAGAATATTTTGTGATCATTTCGAAATTCTCACAATCGTGTTTTACCAAAAAATTCGGGTGTTCCGAATTGTTTCTTTCGTTCGTGAGAAAAAAAAAAAGTTAATGGGATCTCAGCTTAAATTTAAGAAATTCTTGGCAAAAGAACGGACTCGCGTCAGGTCTCCTTATTGATCTCAAATGGTGGGGAGAATTATAACTCAGAATATTGATTCAAAATCTGAATTTCATCTCAAGATACTGGCACTTTTTAAAACATCTGGGGAATTCTAATGCGTAAAAAGAAGGATTAGACATTCAGAGTGTGGGACAAAACCTTTGCATAGTACACCTGAAATTGTCGGAATCTAACCAGTTCATGTACAGCACTGATGTACAGTACTTTGATTTTCAATAGTAATAAAATCAATTATCCTTTCAAATTCTAAAAATCTGAGTACTAAATTAAGCGGACAACTGTAAAAAACGATTCCAGATTATGATGAACTGATGAATTAAATTGATGATTTAGATTTTAGAGTTGAGGGATAATTACACTGCCGTTGACTGATCTTCCCTTGAAAAAAAAAAAAAAAAAAAAAACGCGGTCACCCACGCAAACTTATCCACCGGGAAAATCTGAAATTCAACTAATTGCTAACATTGTCCGCTTTAAAATTCAACAACTCAAAAAATTGATCAAGTTTATCTTTCTGCATTCAACTTGCGATTTTTATCGATATTCGCCTTTTCACTCAGTCACTGAATTTGTCAATAGGATTCAAAAACACGATCCGAGAAGAAACCACTCGAATGAAACGTCCGAGAAAAAAAAAGTTACGCCCGACAAGAAACAGCTCATTAATTTGATCGGTTATCCGGATTCACATCATCAATTGTAAACAATGAGGACACAAAAAAATATTTACGTTTGACACGCCAACAGCAGCTGACGTAAGCGGCGAGGCTTTCGTATGCGTAGTCATCTTGTTTACGTTCGAATGATTGTTGTTGAGTTCCGCTGCCGCGGCGACCGAAATATTCGGCTGAAACTTGGGGTTACCAGAAGGGATTTTTGAATTTTGGCCAACTTTCCCATCGGACGCTGGGCCAGGACTACGAAGCTTCTGATCTGTGGAGAGAAAGCCGTAAATAAACATCAGAACGAGTCGAGTACACTATAACTACAGTACTCTCCTTTCCGTTCTAAACCCCCTGATCGCCTTCTCAGTTACCAAGGAGCCGAGGTTAAATAAAGCATTTTCAATTAGAAGCACCACCTAAATTGATTCTGACTCGAACCAGGAACATGCTCATTAGTGGAAAAAAAATACGAACCGGCCGATGAGTGAATCAAGCGGATGGTATCAGAAGGGGAAGCAACCCGCCACAACGAATATACAGGGTGGACCGAAAAATGCATCATTCCCTTTTAATCAAAGATCATTCAACTTTTCAACGATATCCAAGTTTCAAATTTATTTTAGCTGCCTTGGTATATACTGTACATCACGTGAATTTGAAGTAGAGAAAGGAGTTTACACAGTTACAAGTTGATTTCACACCTACTCTTTGAATTTGGGTTTCAAAATAGCAGGTCAAACTAACAAAAAAACTTTCATTGGTTAGGAAAAAAAGGCCAACAGGTGAATTTTATAATTTATTTCAACATTTTATTGAAACACGGCAGTCATTCGCACCTTTACCAAATCATACGAAAAATAGGAACATAAGTTTCGTCGTATAAATAAATAAAAAATGGCAGAGAAAAATGCTGCAATTTGATGATGAAAAGAATGGATGCTTGACAAAGACACCGAAGAAACGTCAGTATTTTCCAGACTTCGAATGCATCATGAGAATTGAGGTTTCCCTCAAAAGCGCAGCAAAAGTTCAAATAATTTTGCAGCAACAATTTTACTGCTTTTCCAAGTTTCGATTTCCCAAAAAACTTTCAAAATTTGGAAATACATATTTTGGCTTTGACCGGAGTATGAAACCAGTTCACGACTAGATTCGAACTTCTCCGATGTAGATAACCAGCAGAATCATGATACATAGCCGGGAAATCAAGCGGAAACTGTTTCATGGGTTCTTTCTCAAATTGGCCACGGCGGTCACACCCAACGACTCAAGCATTGCAATTAAACGTCATTGGAAAAGTAATTAAACGTACTTTATTCCGAGTTTCTTTTTTCAAAGTGGGTAATTCCACGCATTCAGGAGGTACGATATACTCGGTAAAAAAGAAGAAAGAAGTAGCCTATTTTTCCCTGATAACTGAAACGTATAGAAACGATCAAACATAAATAATTTCGGAGTCGGAATTTCCACGAAATTCGTTTTCTCAAAAGGCCTTTAATCTCATGCGAAAAACGCCGCTTTTCCGTGGGAACACACACACACACACACACTCACCCACAAAAATCCCCATAAAAATTTTAATACATTTTACGAGAGACCGCGAGATCGGTCATACGCTGAGGCGGTCAGATGAGGTCATAAAATGCACGTCCTAGGTCTCCGAAGGGAAAACCCGAGAGAAATGAAGTAAACGGACAGAAAACAAAAAAACAATATTCCGGTCGTTCATTTTTATTTTGTCCTCCCTCTGCTTCACCACGTCGCGGCGCGGAAGAGGCGGCAATTTCTCGACGGCGTCCCCGATTCGGGTAAAAGTTGAACAGAGCCGCCCCGAAGAATCAGCGAATTTCCGCGTCGGGTCCGATGCGAACGAGAGCGACATGAATTATTTCCCGGGGACCCGGTTCCGTCGCCGTCCCTCACGCCCAGTACCCTCGTGGACGAGATACATGATCTTAATAACGATGGGGCGCGTCTCACTCCCCCTTTTGCCCTCAACTTGCAACCTCGAGTTTACGGCTTCACGAAACTCCTCTCCAAGTTGAATAAAAATATAAAAATAAAACACGCACACACAAGCGGGAGAAAAATGGACTGGAAATAACTTTCCCGTGAAATGCAGTAGAAGTCCGAAAAAGAGCACGGAGAAAATACTTTTCATCATCATCATCGTCGTCGTCAGCCACTTTGGAAAGGCAGACATTTCTCGAGAAAAAATCAACGGGACTCGCTCTACGTCAGCATTTCACGGTTTCGACCTACGATAGCAAGGAAATACGAGGGGCTTTCAAAACTTTCTCGGACTTGAAAATGATACGACAGCCGAACTTCTGCGATTTATCTTATTATACACGCCTAGGCACTACAGATAGACTCAACGTCTATTTTCTCCCCATAGCAAGATTTTTGTTGGTCCCATAGGGATCTACACAGGTTCTCTAGAACGAATTTTTCTTCTGGCTCCCTGAATTTCGTTGTAGAGAGTCCACCTGTATAATCATTATAATTTCAGCGCATTTTTTCAAAAATTCATGTACTGTTCAAATCGAGGAATCCAACACCAAACAAACTGAACTTAATTTGTATTCTGAAGCTGCACATCAGCAGAAAATATCTGATCTTCATGGATTTCACAAACCTTCTCAAGAAGCTGTATTTTTCTCGATGGAAATGGCAAAATTTTATAAGGTACAGCGTACAGTGCTGGTAAAACGGAAGTGAAGTAAATCAATAATTAAACGAACTATATTCCGAGTTTACGGTTTCCACTTTTCCAGCAACAAACTCATCATTGAACTGTAGTTGAAAATTTTCCTTCTTTCACATAAATAGCTTTTCGTACAGTTTCGTGATTATGTGGCTGATATACCGACTTTCTTTTCGAATCTTCGAAACAATTTTAAAGCGAATTCGGCCGAAAAAAAAAGGTTACTCCCTGCATATTGAACGAAAAGGAAAGACATTTTCACTCGTTTTTCCATTTTATACTGGATAGTTTTTCTTCGGCGGATTCGCATTTCGAGCCTGGGAATGGGGAAAAAATTGGAGTAACCTCGAAATCCACAAAAATGGGATTCTTTTCGAATCTTTCTCGAACAACAGCGCTTGATTCCAATTTCGAGAAGTTTCGCAAAATAATTCCAACCATCTTCCGGAGGCAGTCCTATCATCAGAGAATCCCATCATCGGAGATAACTACTGTTCAGTACAGTATTTTACTACTCTCCACCCTTGCCCATCATTTTCGAACGGAATGGATCAGCGTTTGAAAAAAGCATCCTCAGCTGGAGGTAGGAATGTCCGAATTAAGTGAAAGCGAATTGATTTCATTTCACCGGAGAGATTTTTCAGCCATCTTCGTTCACCAAAGATGACTTTTTCCTATCGGGAGGATGATACTGAGTTCAAGTTTGAAAACTTGACCAAGAAGGACGATTTTTCCAGCATCATTCTTCCAGAGGAATCTGCAGCATTTTTCATTTCCTTTCCTTCTCGCACCTCAATGCAAAAAAAAAAAAAAAAAAAAAAAAAAAAAAAAAAAAAAAAAAACAC